GTCGGAAATACTATCGCTTTTTCACAAATGTATGACTCTCCCAGACTGCGTCGTACCTCTGCGAGTAAATGAGACGAAACCATGCAAATACTAACTTAGAGGAACCCGAACCTACGCGAAGAGCCGAACCGTCAAATCAATCATGTCCTGATGACGCAACATGTCATAACACATCGCCCTTGAAAAATAGACACCGGATGTTTATCAAATAGTCTTCTGGGGAAGCCCTACTTGCTGTCATCACACTTCGGAAACTTTTCCCACCGAAGCGAGAGGACAAAAATCAACAACTGGGAATATAATTTTTTTCACCCTCGTTTGAGGCCAGACTGTACCAAACAAATCATGGTACAATAATGTTTATAAAAGAGAAAAACGTTCCACGGTTTGTATGTGGGTGGAGTACTGCTAGTTTGCTCAGGCCAAGGCAGATGAATTTTCTTGAGGAATCCACAACCGCAGCCTTCGGCTAGCTAAAGTCTGGTCCGCAAGACAGCGGGGCGGTGTGTGAGAACTGCAATTCATTGGGGGCTGGGGTCCAGTTCATCGGATCATATGCCTTTCGAACGGGGTCAAACGTCCAAGGTGTTCGATTGAGCCCGTGACCATTGCTACAACCGAAAAGATGTGGGTGCGCTTCGTACGCCTCCTCTTAATTGATTTGGAATCAGGGGTTTTGACCAGCTCCCTAGGTGAACTGCCAGCGGTCCACCAGCTGGAGAAAAACTATGCGACTTAGAGTACGCTGATGAAATCGTTTGCCTATTCCAATCTATGGATGATGCTCAAAGAGCACCTGACAGATTAGCAAGTTCTGTCGCTCCGTTCGGCATGTGCTTTGCACCTTCAAAGTGCAAAGTGATACTACAAGACTGGGTGTAACCGAGTTCTGTTCTGAAACTAGACGGTCAGGAATTAGATGAAGTCGACTGCTTCTCGTACTTAGGTAGCTGCGTGATCAACGACGGTAGCGCATCGAAGGAGATAACCGCCCGCATTTCCAAGGCTCGAGCAGCGTGCGCAGGACTGAAATACCTGTTGCGGCGACGTGACGTGTCACTTAAGTTGAAAAGTCGCGTATACTGTGCCAATGTACGATCAATTCTGCTTTACGGTTGTGAGACCTTGAATTTATGGGTATAAGACATCCGTCGTCTAGTGGTTTTCGACAATCGATGCTCACGTGGTCTGGGCCAAGTGGGATGCAGTGAGCGGGTTAGTAACCTAGAAGTCGTCGGGTATTTGGGAATGCATCGAATATGAACTCGCTTTCGCATCGAATCCAGCTCAGTAGGCTCCGTTAGTTAGGACACGTCTTGTCCGACGGTCGCCTATCGCAGCGGGCCTTATTCGCAATGGCTGTTACAGGCTTGAAAAAGCCGCGTTGGGGCCAGCAGATTACGTGGAGACGAGGTATGAAGGAAGGCACGAAGCGATTAGGTAGAGTAGGTGTCTCTCATCTTCCGGGTTGGGGTCCAAAAGACTCCGTAACCGCATGGTTGGAGACACTGAAGGTCATGGCTGCGAACCGACAGCAATGGCGATCATGCTGTCACTTCTTATCAGATCAGAATGCTTGAAATAGTATGTATGCACAGTTGGACTATGTACTTCGTGTTGACTGTAGAGGTTCGCTTTCTGTTCCCATCCCTAAAATGAAGTCTAATCCCTATCCTCCTTGCACATTCTCACTTACCTTTTATGCAATATGAGTTTGGCAGCGATCAAGTTCGATGAAGTTCGCTTCGCTGTATTACGCTGTGCAATGATGATTATGATGGCTATGAGGATGACGGGAGCTCCGTTTAAAGGAGACACTAATTATCAACTTTTAATCTTATTGTTTGTCTAGGAGAGTGATCTTTTCTGAGTTTTATGCTGCATTGTTCACTTTCCCCAGTAATTCGATATATACAACGACCCTATTTGGCGCGATGGTGCCAATCAAGCAGTGTACAGGTAATATCCTGTTCATTCACTTGAAAAGGAATTCACCTGCTGATCCATTTCACTCTGCTTTCATTTCCCAAAAAGTATGTGTCTTGTTAAGGAAGAGGACATTTCATCTGAGAAATAAAAGCGTACTTTTTCGAATCTTTCCGGATTAGGCATTCGTTCCAGGCAACGATAATGCTCCTCCTCCATCGTCATTAACATATTACGTTCCTTGAGCAAAATGTACCATAATTCATGAAGGTCGGCATTGCTTTTCAAGCGAAGCTCTTCCATACGCCATGGTCTTCCACTAGCCACGCTGGTTTCACCCCAGTTTTTCGGATCATCGAAAAAATCGATGAGGTTACGATGACATTTCCCCGTATGAAATGACATCCTTGGATATTTTGAAATTACATTGGAACATCTAAATCAATGTAAAGAAAAAACTCATTCAAACCCACCTGTAGACAGCTGATGATACAAATAAACTGGGTAGTATTCGTAGTTTGGCACTCAATGTAATCATTTTACAATGGTCCGGGAGTTTAAATGCTACGAAAGGAAACAAACGATTAAAATAAAGTAAATGAAAAATGCCCATTGTCACAATGAAAATAAAGTCTGGTAGGTGAAACGAACTGTTTTTCGATAAATTCATCAACGGGCCGTTATAAGTGTTATTTGCGTTCATTGATCTGGTTTCGATCGCATTAAACTAAGTACAGAAGGTATGCTAAGATTTTTGTTACCTGATACTCATCTCGATTAGTTCATTGGTGCGTCCCCCGGAGATGGAGTGGGATTCTTCATCCGAGGCCACGGCAAGTTTAGAGCCTGAACAAACTACCTTTGGTTACGGAGAGGGGGATCCAATGTTTGGATAGCTAACAACTCGGCTGTGCATAGAAGAAGAAAACGATGGTGAGTGGTAAATGTTGCGGAAAGCCTGATAAACATTGATAGTGTGCCATCTCTCCAGTATATGTTGATAGTTAGCACTTCGCCGTGTCTCAAGCAGCGGGGGTGGTGTTCGTGTATAATCTTTGACAGCTGTCTCGTAATTCGGCCGATGTAACTCGCTCCACAGGAGTAAGTGAACGCGCAAAGGCACATGGATGCGGATTGAGGGCACAGTTTTTCTTTGAGGTGGAACCGTATTCCTGGGGACGTAGTGAAATTCATGCACAGTTCAACTGTTGTAAACGCTTAATTGATCCGCCGTGTAATCACCTTTAAACAGTAGTTCCAAAAGGAGTGGTTTCTTGTTGACCGTGTGCACTAACGGTCGTGAGGGTATCTCCGTTAGATGTTTATGTATGAAGCTGTCCGCGTAACCGTTCCCGCAAAAGAAAGTTTTTGGTGTGTTCAAGTTCTTCGGTTACGGTGTTGGAAGAGCAAATTTTCCGTACCCTCATAGCTAGGCATGACGCCAAATTTCTCTTTTGTTTCAATGGCAAGCAATTGAAATTCACATTTTGTCCCGTCCATGTTCGATTTCTGTATACTCCTCTCTGGATAGTTCCATCCGGCTTTCAGACTAGTAGAACATCCAGGAATGGGATTCCATTGTTCTCTTTCTCGATAGTGAAGTTGATTGAGTTGCGGCTTCCATTGAATGTAACCAGCATAGAATCGACGCAGGGTATTTTATTTATTATGAAAAATTTATCGGCCACGTTCTCACATTACACACTGAATTTGTGTAAGAGAGTACGCTAGAGTTTCCCAACAAATATGTCCGTCAACATTAGTCCCAGCAGAGATCCCATTGCGACTCCGTCCGTCTGTTGATAGATTCGAAAAGTGAACGGAAACTGGAGGCCAAAAGTGCATTGAATCAGAAGCTCTTTTATCCTTAAAAGCTGTATTTCTATTTCCAAGTGGTTATCTGCTATGAATTTGCATAAGATATCAAATTACAGCAAAATACAGTAAAGCGAACTGTATTTCGTTACCTATTAGATGCCCATTTGATTCATCATCATCGTGCGGTGAAATAGTGAGGCGAACTTCACTGATTGCTGCCCAGTTCGCAGTGCATACGAGATTAGTGGTAAAATTTAAGATGGAGAGGGATTGGACCTATTTTAGGAAGGGGAAAGAAGGTGAACCTCTATGGTCAACACACAGAGTATTCAATCGAACTCAGCATACATACCGATTCAAGTATTCNCATTCTGACCTGATGAGAAACGACAACAAGAACGCCACTGCTGTCGGTTCGTTGCCATATCCATCAAAGTCTCCAACCAACTGATTGTGGAATCTTTCGGACCCCAACCCGGAAGACGAGAGACACCTACACTACCTAATGAATCTGTGCATTTCTTCATGCCTCATCTCCACGTCATCTGTTGACCTCCACGTGGTTACCTCCAGCCCGGAGCGGCTACAGCGAATACAGCGCGGTGCGGCAGACGACAGCTGGGTATACCCAATACGTGCCTTAGCGAGAAGTCTACTTATCTGAATTCGGTGTGCTATCAGGTTTATACCTGATAAACTCCCAAACACACGACGACTTAGCTACAGATTACTAACCCGTTCGCTCCGTCGAACGTGGGCTAAACTGCGTAAACACCGATAATCAAGAACTTCTAGTCGACGGATATCTTCAACTCGCAAATTAAAGGTCTCAACCATGAAGCAGAACTGAACCAACGATGGCGCGATATACACGGTCTTTCAACTTCAGTGAAACATCGCGTCTACGCCAAAGGTATTTCAGTCCTGCGTACGCTGCTCGAGCTTCGGAAATGCGGGGGGAGGGGGTCATCTCCTTTACTGCACTGCCATCATTGGTCACGCACATACCTAAGTAGAAAAAGTAATCCACCATAATTCCTGGTCATTTAGTTTTAGAGCGGGAGTAGACGAAACCCAGTCCTGCAGCATCACTTTGTACTTCAAAGGTGCACAGCACATACCGAATGTAGCAACAGCACTTGTTAGTCTATCAAGTGTGCTTTGCGCATCCTCCAAACATTCGAAGACAGACGACTTCATCGGCGTACTCTAAATCGCACAGCTTTTCTTCAGCTTCCCATTCAGTTCCGACGTTTGGGAGAACACTTAGTACGGTCTCGTATTTCGTCTACGACAAAATTGAACAGCAAGGGTGAGAGAAGGCACCCTTGACGAACGCCGGTTCTGGTAACAAATGGCCTACTTAGTACATAAAAGACCTTCACACGACCACAGGTATGTGATTAAGGTGACCTCAGTAAGTTAACGTACATCTGGGGCAGTCCTTCTCGAAGAAAGGAACACATCAGAGCTTCGCGGTCAACTGAGTCTCTCTTAAAGGCGTCAGTCGCCGAAGTGTGACCGAATATAGCGCTTTGGTGACGATCGTGATCAAACTTATCCCACGATGGTTTTCGCAATCGCTCTTCTTTTTTAGAGACAGTGAGCCTAGTCCCGTATGAGTCTCCTAGCCGAGGCTCGGTGGCATGACTTAGATGTGCGTGTCCTGCTACCACCTCCCCAGAAAGTCGTCTAGCCGACGCTTGGAGGTTTTTTTCATTGTTCTCTTCCACCACGTCTTCCGGTAGCATATTCCACATATTGGTACCCCGACGGGATAGGCAGTGAATCAGCGGTAATCCTACCGTGTGCGGTTTCGCTAGTCAGTGCGTGTCCCCTCGTACGGTTGTGCTCTCGAAGCGGAAGCATCGCTTGCAGTTCGCATCCCAAGTCTCCGCGGATGATGCGTCTGGTGCAGATTAAATCGATTCTCAACCGCCAGTAAGCTAACGGAAACAATCCCGTAGCTTGCAGGCGTCCTTCGTAGTTGATCCCACGCAGCCCGGCAACGAGATGTGTGGCACTGCGCTGTATCCGTTTCAGCTTCTGTGCGTCTGCCTTCGTGCATGGAAACGACGCAGGGCCACCGTATCCCAATCTCGGGCGCACATGTGAGGTGTACAGAACTTTGAATGCACTCATGAAGTCCACCAAAAGACCACCGTATGGCTCCCAGTATTCGCCAGACCGACGAACATACCCTGTCGACGTGGCTACTGGTCTTCAAGTTGGAAGCCAAGGTTACCCCCAAATCCTTTTCGCAAGTGGATGAGCGAAGAGAGTTGCCATGTATGGTGTACTCCACGGTGCCCCCGCTGGACCCACCCGCATATGCGCACACTTTGAGGTATTAATTGGCAGAGACCATCTCGCGGACC